ATAGACACGTGTCTGCTTTATTGAGATGGTTTTACAGTATAAATGTCATTCAAGGAACGCGTTGAGAGTATCATTTATGAGTTATGGACAGCTATTATCATTATTCTAGAGAGGTGTCCGACAATACCATAGATAACGATAGATTTGACTGCATTATTTATCACATGCAGAGAACGGAGGTCCGAGGATATGCAAATATAACATCGTTAGTTACCAGGGATATATTATAATTTTTACATTTTGAAAAAAATAACCATTAATATATAATGAATATGTAGTCGAGTGGATACAAACAGGCAAAAGTTAAAAAAATTAAAATTTAAATGCTGCAGCTGAAAACGAACAGATTGTGCATCTACTACAGCTGACCTTTTTGGCTTGCGAGTACAACGCACGCTCAGACCTGACATGATGACCCACAAGATGCTTCTGTTCGTCCCGATCCCGCTTCGTCGTATGCAACTCCTGCAACAAACATTATACCATTACACACCGACACATGCAGTTACTCATGGAATAAACATTACACCGACACATGCAGTTACTCATGGAATAAACATTACACTGACACATTCACTGAGGGAACATTTGCATCGCTATTACCATGAGCGTTTACACTGCATTGGCTATCACTCGTTATAGCTTCAGAATGACATAGGGTAGCGAAAGAGTGATCAATGACCTTCAAACGACCGTGTGAATTTTAACAATCACTCACGTGTTGAGTGCTGCACAGCTGGTCGGTCGTGTAGTCCAACGTCTTCGTCGTCTCATCCAGCTTGCTTTGAGTTTCAGTAAAAATCTCAGATAACTAAGTATAAGCAGAGGAAAGAAATTATGATAGAATTACACCAACATATGCACCACTGTGCATATAGTCCCACTGTGCAAAATATAAGGCAACATTACATTTACAATTACATTTCAAGTGTAAGACTACGTTAATCTTACAGGTACCACATGCATAATAAATCCACTCATATTCAGAATTCATTGAAATACAATTAAGCTATATAATTTGTTTGTCACTTCTAATGTAAGATTTAGATATTCTCATCAGAAAATTTTGTTTTAAATACTTTTGTTATCCCATCTGTAATTGCCCCAATGTTGTCTTCCAGTTCTTTTATCACTGCTGCTTGTGTCTCCAGTTTGGATGTGATATCACTACAAAAGAAAGAGTCATCTTCCTTAACTCTCCTTAGGACTATCAAAACCAACGAGATTATATGGCACTTACAACTACAGCACTAAAATACTTAGAAAAGTAAACACCGTTCTTCTCACGATATACGTACACGTAGTTTTCTTCTGCTAAGTAAACACCGTTCTTCTCACGATATACGTACTTGTAGTTTTCCTCTGCTAAGTAAATGCCGTTCTTCTCACGGGCAGCTATTAAGTCTTTCCTAAGCTTCTCTATTTCGTTGGTGTACTCCTGAAATAAGTAACAGTCTGTTAGTTACTATGATAGATGTTTAATTGGACTCACACACAGGTGAGTATCTACACAAGTTGCTATTCAACCTTTATCACAATTAACA